GATATAGAGAATCTCTTAGAGTTGCTATAATGGTAGTTAAATTTGACCCCTAGGATCTATGTTTTGTTTAGACCCAATTCACAGAATCCCCCCCCCCCTCTTGGGTGCTGACAGAACCTAGTTACGTCCATAAAAATCTACAATTTTGCCTTGCCAAAACAAAAAAGGTCTTGCTTCAAAATGGGAAATTTTTTTGGTCACATAACCATTATTGAACGAAGATTATTACTCTGCTGACACAATTGACCAAAGCCAAAACTATAAATATGTTTTTTTATAGCTGTGGTGTGTGCTCCAAGTTTACTTTTACACAGCTCATCTCTCAGAATGGAATAAAATTGATGGGGAAGGCTACCGCCGTCAGCACACGCTAAAAACATATGGACTAGTGCATATGATGGGAAATCATTTCTACTACCAGACGTACCTACACCAATGAGGAATCCTATAACCAGTATGGGTATGGCCCCAATCCTATAACCAGACGGGTATGGCCGAGCAGGTATTAAGCTTGCCGTTTTATATCGGGTGACCCCAATATGGTACTGAACCAGGCTAAATATATCTCCTGATTCCAGTGCGAACTTCAGTTCCGTTTTCTTAGCTTCCCTTACCATGGCGAGAAACCGGTGGCCGTACACAATCTCTGGCGAAACACAAATAATGTTGTTGTTTTTTTTTTTGGTTGCAAAAGATTAAACTGAACTTCAACTGAGGGCTTGTCAAAAACATTTATCCATCTGTACCTAATCTGATATCAGAACAGCAGCTGAACAATGTCAATTTTGTACCCGTGCAATTAATGTAAGCATGATCATACTAGACACCTATCCTAACATCTCCGTGCAGTTCTATAGATACATCGAGGATCATATTTTCAAGATGATGAAATTCTTCTCTCCTTAAGCTTTTTTGATGGTGACGATGAAGCGATGATGGATCGCTGGCGCCCAACCTGAGGCTCACCTCCGTAGGATGATGTTCGGCGTTGCTCACTTGTATTAGCTGCTGTGGACCTCCAGAAATACCATAAGCAAATAAGAGCCATCACACTGAACAATGTAACAGCTATCCATATGCCCTTGCTATTGCTAGTGTCATGTACGTGAACCACTTCACTGTCCGCAGAGATGTCCACAGAAGAAATGTTTGTCTTTGTACACTGTGCTTAGAAAAAGATTAAAAAAAAAAAGCTATTAGTAGGCACAAATTATTATTACACCCTCTATCCTGAATATAAGGCGCGATTAGACTTGGTGAGGCCACCTATATATAATTTCTCTTATAATATATACTTTATAGGAACAAAAGTTTGATCATTACAAAACATTTCTAAATTCAAGGATCTAATGTAACTACTTTTGTAATACAAACTTTTGATATAATTAGGCTAATTATTAGTCAAAGATAACAAAGTTTTAATTTTGAAATACATGCATGCCTTCAGGGACCAATGGAGTAACTGAGATAGCAAGTATTTTGAGCTTCAAGGAACAACAAATAAGCATGTACCTGCTGAGCAGTCCTCCATATGAAATGTTGACCATTTGGAGATGATATGTCTATCCTTTCCATTGCACAGAATATATGTGGTACCTAGTTCAGGAGGTCCCCATCTTTCTTTCATATAACGGCAAAGGCAACAAGCCCCACTCTCATCACTTGCTGGAACTTGGACAATTGCATATAGTAAAGCATTGCAGCATGTCTGTGAGGACGAGGATGGCTTCCATACACCGTTTGGTTGCATACATGATAACACGGCAACGCTTGTCAAGTCATAACGACATGTGCCCTCTTCAGATCTTTGTGTATCTGTGGCTGAATAGGCTCCAGATGATGATAGAAGCATTGTGAGCAGCAACACCCACAACCAAGACTTTTGGACTACCAATCAAAACAAAGAAAAAACATGTAATATCAGTATGTTTGTATTTTTTTAGAACACAATGTACTTAGCAATTGGAAAGGGCATGTAACTCAATGACAAAACTGAATGGAAGAATCAAAAGTAAAATAAACTTACGACCTTTTTAGCCATGCAATTTATTGTACAGTTTGAAAAGAATGAGGACATTAACAATGTATTGAATATATCCAATGCAAAAGGTAGTCCAATAAGAAAGAGCGAAACGTACAGCATGTGACATTGGCATTAGGAGTATTTATCTCTGCATCAACAACTGAAACCTTTCTGCGCCGCATTGCCTGCATTGTAGAGATTACTACTCCAAATCATTACACTCTGATGAACAGTAGCAGAAAGATTTACTATAAGATTCCTAGGTTTTATGATCTCAAAAATACTGGAAGTTAAAACAAATTTCATCTGAAACTGAAGTTGATGTCACAGCACAATAGCACATACACCTTTTCTTAAAACTTGGCAGCTGTTGTTCCATTCATTTAAACAAACAAAGCATGCTCAAACAAGTTTAAGCACCAAATAAGATAGGGTAAAACCTCCACACAATATCACTATGCATATTTCTCAAGATTTTCTTTGGCAAATGTGCATCACTAAAATAAAGGTAGATTAAGTAGCATTGGCAGATTAAAACTTCTTAGAATATAAAGATAGGAAAAAAAGACAATCCCAGACATACCAGTAAACAAATAGCAAGGGAGAAGATCTCATAGATGAATATTGATCCAATTTACAAGACTTAGTATAGCACAGTTAGCCATAAATTGTTATACGTGTAGCATAAAGCAGTTGTAAATAAAACTGCACAGCAAGATAATTGGTAGGATCACGTGCACATATATATAACCAAAAAGCGAAGGGGTTGGGGCGTCCGCTTGTCTTACAGCCATTTTAGAAGGGGTAGCCAGATACTCTTGGGAATCAACCGTGCAGTCCATTACCATGTATCCCTGAAAAACAAAATCGGACAGATTAGAATAATCATTCAGTCATGAATGGGCAATACGCTATTGTGGAAACCGAAGAGGATCCTTTCAAATTTCTATCAAAGTGTGGGGATGGGATCCACAAAAAAGCAAGGTGCAGACGGGAACCAACCAAAACTGCGACGAGCAAATTGGGGGTAGCGAAGCACACAGTGACACAGCACACACCCGGACACCCCACCCCACCCCAGCGACCCACAAAATGATGCAACTAGAGCGGCAGTGCTTTCCCGCCATGGATCGCCCAGCGCAGAAGTCCCGATCGAATCGGCGGAATCAAACGACGAAACCGCGGCGAGATTGGGATTGGAGTGAGATCGGCGAGGGGATTGTTTGCATACCATCAGTTCGCCTACTTGCGGGCGGAGCGGAAGGGAAGCCCCTCGTTGCTGCGGCGCGACGATCGCCGACCCGACGTTGCTTCTCCGGGAAGCAACCGCCTTCATCGCCGCGCCTCGGCGACGCCGCGGGTTTAAAGCAAGGGGAGAAGCAGGGTTTAGAAGAGAAATCCAGCGACACTGGTCACTAGCCCAGTTGCCATTGATAAGCCAAAGTGAAAGCAGAGTGAACGTGGGCCGAGTGAGGCCGAATTGGCCCGTCAACAAAAAACAGTCGCCTGCCTATTAAACCGGACGATTGTTGAACTCAATTTTTTAAAACCCTTTCATTTTTTCTGCACGAAGTTTTTAGAATTTTGGTTTGAAAAAAGTTTCTAGAAAATTAGTTTACTAGCAATATACACGTGCGTTCCTACGGGTGAACACCTGTTTTTAATCTGACAAGCAGCCTACAAACAATATTGTGTCTCTTGGCCTTAGGAGCATCTCCATAAGTTTCCAAAATCTAGTCTTAATCTTTTTTTTTTGTAAGATTGAAAAAAATGGTTTCTAACAACTTTATATCTCAGCTCCCAATCTTTCCGCACCTGAGAAGCACCTGAGAAAACCGACTCAATCGTACGGAAATACAAGTGCGCATATCGATCTGCCAATATAGAGGTGTAGGACATGGGGAAAAATAAAGAGTAAGATACTTGAAAATATGTAAGAAAGAAAGAAAGTATAAAAATTCAGATTTCATTATTTTAATTGCATAACTTTTTTAGAAAAGATATTGATCAAACAACTTTTTGTTAAAATGTATTTGTAGTCTGATTTCCCTCCTAAAGTACCAATGGATTCTGATTTAGTTCCTCAATGGCTGACGTAGTGTCACGTAGGATGGTTGATGTGGTGCCATGTCGGACAGAACAGCCCCAAACTGTAAAAACAAATGGTTTTTAAAGTTGAGGAGGGCCAAAATCCAATTGCATATATGAGGGTGGAAAATCAAACTTTATGAATAGTTGAGGGGTTAAAAAGGATTGATTTATCCGTATAGGCAAGCAAATACTCTGTATGTTATGGGTACTCCCTTAGTTTTAAATTATAAATCACTTTAGTTTCACAAATGCATCGACTTATAATTGGAAGGGAGAGATCAGTCCTGATTATGAGTCCTATTTAAATATAAGCCGGCAATAAAATCCCCAGTCCCGACATGTACAAATGCATGACGATGCTGTGAGTAACAATGGTGGTGATACCGTTTCGCATGAAAGTGTGAGCATTGTCCAAATTAATTAAATTGCAGTTCATCGCCCTTACTACTAATTGAAGGGCAGAGTATAAGCCAATTCTTGTACACACTACATGCTCTTAGAGTGTAGCTTCTTGAAGCCCAAACATATGCAGCCTGCCGTGCACACTGCACACACTACCTTACAAGCAAATACTACTGATTTTTCCCGAAATGGAATTTATACCGGTGCTTGTCATGGTGTTGCTTGCTCTATGCTATATGGTCGGACCGTGCAACTGCACTGGAGTATGCTCGCCAGCGACGTACGGTAATCTCTCTTCATTCATCTGCACTAGATTATATATGCCAACCTTGTCTTCATGATCCTTCATGTTTCTGTTTTCTTTTCATTTCTTTTTTATTTCTGTGATTGTTCATTTTGTCCATGGATGTAGTACATTGCAAATAGAGTTTACTCCTATATTTTCTTCATGTTTTTAAATTTTGATTTTGATCCTACACCCCCAATGGATGCATGCTCAGAGTCTCGGCAGAGGAAAGATGGCGCCTTCCACTTCCCTGTGTTCCACAGGAAGCACCCGTGTGTTGACGAAGACCCATCGACGATCCACGCAGCAAGCGTATCAGACGCAGGCACCGTGATTGGGAACGACAAGATCCATCAAGGCAAGTACTTCATGGCCATCAGGCTGGGCACCCCTGCCGTCTTCAACCTCGTCACCATCGACAGTGCCACGAGCAGGCGCCCGAAGCTGGCCCCAAGCTGGACCCTCACCGCTCCGCCACGTACCGTCACGTCGGCTGCTCCGACGAGGACTGCCTCGACATCCAGGCCGACAACGGCGTCCCCTACGGCTGCGTCGACGAGACGGACACCTGCCTCTACGGCCTGCGCTACGGGTCGCAGTACTCGGCGGGGAAGCTCGGGAGGGACAGGCTCGCCCTGGGCGACAACTACACCATCGTCGACGACTTCGTCTTCGGGTGCAGCGAGGACGACATGTTCTACGGCCTCGAGGCGGGCGTCATCGGCCTCGGCGACAAGCGTTACTCCTTCAACCAGATGGCACGGCTGACGACCTACAACGCCTTCGCCTACTGCTTTCCCGGCGACCACCGCGCCGAGGGGTTTCTCATCGTCGGGCCGTACCCGCAGAAGCTGGAGCTCGTCACGACATTGATCAGGGGTACGGGCGTAGGCAGCACGTCTACTCGGTTCTGCTGCTGGGCATCGCCGTCGACGGGAAGCCTCTGGAGGTCGACGGGCGCCAGATCCTGGTGGTCGACTCTGGGACCGATGACACCTTCGTCTCGTCCTCAGTTTTTTATGCTCTCGCCGAGGCGATAGCGTCGGCGATGCAAGATAAGGCGTATTACCGTGAGTACGGTCGGAAGGTCTGCTTCAGGCCTGCCGGCGGCGAGCCGGTGAACTGGAGGAGCTTGCCGACGGTGCAGATGCAGCTCCTAAGGGCTACGCTGGAACTGCCGCCGGAGAATGTGTTCCATCAGCAGTCAACTGATCGCATATGTTTGGCGTTCCAGTCGAATGACGCTGCTGGCGTGCCGGATGTTCAGATTCTAGGGAACAAAGCCCTGAGATCTTTCAGGGTTGTCTATGATCTGCAGAAGATGACCTTTGGCTTCCAAGCCCGGGCGTGTTGAAAGGAGTTGCCTCGGCCATGTACTATTTAAAAGAGAGATACTTCATATACCGTTCTTAGGCCCTCCACGGTGTTAGTGTTAGCCTAAAATGAAGCTTAGGTCTCGTTTGACACAGCTCAGCTTTACTAGTAAATAAAGTTTAAAATAGCCGGCGATAGCTGCTGGACAAAGTCACAGCTAAGATACGTCACTTTTAGCGCTAAGAAAAGTAAAACGCTAATAGCCCGAGATAGCTGGAGATTGCGGCTAATTGGGACAAACTTAGCTACCGCTAAACTATGTCAGGCCAGGAAATTGACCAAGCGGCCCACTAAAACGTGTGCCACTGCCGGCCCATTGCTTTGCCCTTCCATCCAGCCCAGGAAAATAACGTAACCCTGGCATCTTCTCATATCTCTGACTCATCTCGTTAGCCCATTGCTTTGCCTATCCATGCACTACAGCTATACGAGATTTGTCATTCGATATATTGCTTCTTCTCTGTTTTTCCTTTTGTTTAAGAAAAACAGCTACTGAAGCTATCTCCGGCTATAGCTGGGCTTAGTTGCATTGGAGGTCAACAGCTAAGGGGCTTAGCTGGAGTTTTAAAACTTTTGCTAGTAAAGCTATTTTTTTTACAAACAGCTTCATGAATGACTTTTTAGGTGGAGCTGAATTATTTTAGAAAAATTGTTTGGCTAAACAGCTTTACCAACAACTTCATTATGGATGGCAGAGAGAAATGAGGGAGAGAGCTGGAATAAGCTACTTTTTTCAGCTTCATCCCACTTCATTTCCTTACGAGAGAGAAAGAAAAACAGTTTCACCTATGAAGCTATTTTAGCAATGGGTGTTTGGCAAGAAAACAGCTCACAACAGCTGTGAGCTGTAACGACAGGCCCTTAATTTTTTTTTATTAAGTGAAGCTTAAAATGAAAAGAACAAAAAGATTTGGGAATCACTCCACACGCTGCAATAGGTGTCCACACACTGCAATAGGTGGCACCGACGCTAGAAATTTGAGGAGCAAGGCAAGTACTTACCTCAGTGCCAACTCTATATAAAAATACTACTCAAAATACTACTCATATGCCATCCAGTCATGCTATGAGTGTCTAAGCATGAAGATAAGATCAAACTGCATCGGAGTTATTGGGTGCCACTAGTAGTGCTATCACGCATTCATGCCGTAGTCTTGGAAGAGTGATGTCCTTTTTTTAAGCAAACAAATTAGGTGAGGATTATCCGCATGAGCACTGTAGGGACCATACGCATGACATGTGGATCTCAACTAAATATGGGAGGAGAGAGAATTACAGTAAACTCATGCAGTAGCAGCACAATACGCACAAGATCCGTGTAGAATGGTCCATACCCCATTTTTTTCCTTTTTTAACGGTGTAGGACCTATTATTTTTTAAGGACTATTTCATTCACATGCAGCTCCTAAATTTGTCTAGAGTTCTCCTATAACTCCTAATACCTAGGATTTTCATTTCTGACACCCTAAACTTATATTATTGTACCAACCAGGTCCAAACCCTTATCTGACGTCGCCCGAGCACTGAAGTGGCTGCCAACGTGGATTGGGCAGGAGGTCCAAACCTTAAACTTGCATTAATGTACTCTTTCTAGGTTTCTCTCTCCACAAACTCCACCGTGGAGCAGCTTCACAAACTTTAGGTTTTAATGGAGCACCTATCTAAGTGCTCTCAGAACTTCATCCTTTTTTTCGAACTGTATATGTGGAGCTAAAACCATTTAAAAAAAACATAGATGGGAGCTGAAAAATATGGATCGGAGCAGTCCCCACCCCCTAAGTATGCAAGAGTGTAATCTATGACATATATAGAACCGATTTTATTACAAATACAATGAATATAAGATCTAATAAGCACTAGAAACGCGGATAAACCTGAACAACTAATAAGATCAAAAAGGTTAAGCCCGTCTTGCTACAAAAATGAATGCAACCAAAGACCGGATATAATTTACACTAACATTTAAACTAAATATATATCGAAGATCACATGGTGCAATAAAAAACATGACAATATATATCTTAATATTGTTAACAAGACTTTGTTAACATAGCTTCCACACTAATTTTCACTAAATACATAAGAAAAACATCCTATACAGTCATAATAATTCAAAACATTTGGCCATTAATGAGATTGTTAAGGCCAGTCCAATTGAAGATTTCATCTCACTGTTTTCAAAACTCCCATGTATTGGAAATAGTGTGGAAAAGTTTTATTCCATTAAACTCTTTTCATCATATGAAACTTTTATCATATCTCATCTCTCTATTAATACAATGCCACATCAGCTTATAAAATGCTCATGAAAAACCAACGAAAAAACACTATTTTGTTTGCACTGCTCAATAATGAATATACAAGACCCTAGTCGACTTTGATGATGAACCTATGTCGATTCCGCCTAGATTCACCCTCTCCCCCTATCTAGACATGTGTTGTCAATGTTGTATATATATACGATGAAGAACACATCTTTAACGATGTTTTACCATTGACTGCTTGTCATGAGGGTACCCGGGACGATGATTTGTTTGGAGGGGTATCGGCGTATGCAGGAACTCGATGGTGAACGCAGGGAGACAACGATTTATACTGGTTCGACATGCCACAAAATCACGGCGCCCTACGTCCAGTCTGGGGTAGATAATATATTACGCGCTGCGCTATCTGTAGTATTCTCTCTATCTTTCTCTATATGATCTCATCTATCTGTTCTCTTATTCTGTTGGGGTCATATGTTGAGGTTGTACCAATCTAGGGAGCCATGTCCTCCTTTATATAGTCCAGGAGACAAGAGTCCTAGTCGGTTACAAAGTAGAAGTCCTAATAGGATTACATAATAGCAATGCTACTAGGATTACGTATGGGAAATCCTGGTTGGACTAGATATTCTCTCTTCTATGTGGGCTATCCCGTGGGTCCCGTATCGACAAGCCTCCGAGCATTTCATGGTTGAGCTCCAGGAACTTCCTTGTTCTTTCCGATCTTCATCTTCGAGTTCTTGTATCTATTCTGGGTTCTTCTGCAGTGACTTGAGATGATCTTCTTTTATTTGGTTGGTTCACCTTGATTGATGTGCACTTTCTCCCCCGAGCCTCTTGCTTTTTGTGATGAAAAAGTTGGAGGGTCCTTTTGGTCTATTCTCTCTGGGTTCTTTCTTTAGTGAGTGTAGCCCCCGAGCCTCTTGCTTCTTGGGCGCCCAGAATCTGTCCTTGAGAAAAAGTTTGGGGGTTTTCTTTTTGAGGATATGTATCATGTAGCCCCTAAGCCTGTGTCCGAGTACTTGTAATTACAGATAAGTTTTTGATCCATCTGAGTTGTTTCTGGACTTTTTCGACCCTTGACGCGCTTCATCTGGGTTGTTTCTGAACTTGTTTAATCCTTAATGCACCTTTGTCTGGGCTGTTTTGTTCAATCCGGGTTGCTTCCCCAATTCAAACTCCTTCCTAATGGCATGCTACTTAACTCCTGAAATCATCCATTCAAGGATACATTGTCCCCACACTCATGTCAGGGTTGTCTCTATCCCAAGTGAACACTGGCTCATTGTTGGCATTTCTTAATGTAATCACTAGGATTAGGCAGAGAACCTATCCCCAGCAACTGCGCTAGAAATGTCCTTGTGGTTTCTACTTAGGAGTATCGCTAGAGTATAGCGATATCACAAGTATTGACCTTGATAGTTTCTTAACCTTTTTATATATTAATCCGTAAGCGCACGGAGCTATCGTTTGTAGCATTTCACCCAGTGAGTATTCGGATATCGTTATTTATATTTTCCCAAAGGAAGGCATTGATTAAGATTCTGATATGATCATAGGTAGTAATGCTGTGCAAGTTAACCAATTGTTAATACAGGGGTAAGAAATGATAATAGAGATAGTGGACACACACGTGAGCTTTCCTCTAATGATAAATAGAAAAGAAACTGATAAAAGAATATTCCTAAGCGAGCAGGCATTAATCTAGTATAGTCATATTATGATTAGTTAATGTTCATATAATTTACATAATTAGAATTAGTGCTAAGTGTGGCATGGATCATGAGAACATGCATGTACTGGTCTGCCAGCAACCACCATGCCAATTTAGACTCCTACATCCCAAACGAACAGGGGGGAATGCTAAGGACGGACAGGGCTGTCACCACCTGCCGTCATCCCCTCGACTGAAGCAAGGGCCATGCAGACACCTGCCTCTCCATACCCAGGCACCATGCCTACGTATACAGAGACTACCCAACTCACCCTGGGACTCCGACCCTACGGCTCGACAAGTTATGAATTGGGCACACCTTGCGGTACGATGAACCACCACACCCAACTTAGCTCTAATCTTCATTATATAAGTTATATGTTTTATTAAGCACAATGTTACTGATGATACTCTCATGACACATAAACTATACACTAGTTCATATATCAAGATTATAACATCACAACTATACTCTAGTTCATAAATATGACTATAATTGGATAATGAGAGAATGAACTTGGAAGAACTCATAATTCTATTCATACCCAAAGTGGTCTTCTTCCAAGGAGTCAAGCTCTCCAAGGGAGCTTTGCCTTGCTCTTCTACTAACAAGAAAGTAAAAGCTACAACTATAAATTGAAAGTGAAGATTGCTCAAGAGTGTTGTGTGTGTTGATGAGGGGGGTGCCTCCCTTCTTATACTGGTGAGTAAGGCGGTAACAAGCCACAAGTTGCGCTGAGAGCACACAATGAACAGCCTCAGGGAACCGCCATCGAACCGCCAGAGGAAGGCGGTGCTGGTCCAGCCCAGCCAGGGTGCGGCGCACCCTTAGTTCAGCCGACCCCTGGGCTGCGCCGCCTCGCAACTGCCTCTGCGTGGTGGGCTCTTGTGGACTCCAGGTGGGTACCTCTGCGTGTTGGGCCTCTTTGGTGTTTATTTGCCTGACGTCCTTGTTATTTGTTTGCGCAAATATGCGTCGAAGCGCCTTTTGGATATGAATAC